CCCCCCCCCCCCCCAGCCTGTTGCCCAAACTCATTGACCCACCCCACTGCGTCCTTTTTAGGAGACAGGGTGGACTTCCTTCTCTCCATCTCCAGCACTAACTCACCAACTTCCTCACAGTGTAAATGAGCTTTTCCTCCGTGCTCACCCAGCTCTTGTTGGGGTGCCCAGTGGTGTCGTTTGCAGCTTATTGAAAACGGAAAATCATATCGTCAGGGGGGCGGGCTGCGGGCCTGGAAGGGGGAAAATACACTCCATGGCTGGGAATTTTCTTCAGCATGAGAGCTTCTCAAACACTTGAGAGAGAACTAGGGATTTCCCCCCTGTGTTCCCCCCACCGCAGCACCCAGGCTGAGGCTGAGTCCAGAGTCGCCTGGAGAGTAGGTGCAGGTCTGGAGGGTTTGCCTCTTCAGCCACTGGGAGGCCTCTGCACTCCGTTCCCCGGCGCCTGGCTGCGATTACTCACTGGAGCAGCGGCACCAGCCTTCCACCAGGGAGCCCAGCTCCCGCCCTCCTCCCCCATCTGCAGCCTGCTGGCTCCCTCTCTCCCTCTCTGTTTCACTCACTCTCTCTCTCTCTCTTTCTCTCCCTCTCCTATCGCAGCACAATGAAAGCCTGTGTTTCGCCGTGAGTCCGAGGAGCGGGAGCCGGTGTCAGGAAAGCGCTCGGAACAGACCTGAAAGAGAAAGGAAAATACAAGCTACTTTTTTCTTCTTTTTCCCCCCATCTATAAAGCGAAGCAATACAGGAGATAGAGCCACATTGCCTATGGGAGTCCAGACCCTGTGAGCCACTGGCCGGGGATGGAATGTACAAAAGTGGACAGAAAAGTGGCTGGACATGACTCGGTGCAATTTGCTGGAAGTTTGTAAGTTTGACCATCGTTTGTAAATTACTCTCGGAAGACTTTGTCTCTCTTGATACTGTGTTAGAATAGAACTGGGGGTGAGGGATAAAAACGTAAGTGGGAAAGGGGAAATTGTGTTGAAGGAGCCTTCTCAGTAGCCAGCCACTTCAGAGAGCTTTCATTTAAAACTAAGAAACCTAAGAGGGAATCAGGATTTTTGCCGGTGATTGGATTAGCTTGAAGAAAAGAGCATGCTCCTGAAGTCCAATTACAGACGCCGTTAAGACAGACTGAAAAGCTGTCTCCTTTGGGGAGAAGACTACATCCTAATATAACCTCCCTCCCCCGGAGAAAATCGCCAACACCGGAGGGAGAGAAGGGGACGGAGAAGCCAAGACAGTCTCCCTTGATTTCGCACAGTTTGAACATGACTTCCGAAGCCTCGGGAAGCAGCCCTGTTGTTTGTGTTTTAACCTGAGTAAAAGTGAAGGTTGCCGGTTGCGTAGACCAGAATAGAAATGCGTTTCTCTGCAGAAACACCCCCATAAATAATTTCCTGAAGCAACTAGGAGAAGGGGAGTCTGGTTCTCTATTAATGACTCTTTCCATTCCTTTTGCTGTACGTGTCTGTCTCTTCCTTGATGATCCCTGAATTCTTGAACTATCCCCCAGACTTTGTGTTTACAAAGTACCTGGAGGCTCTTGTCAGCCTGGTGGGGGAGAAAAGATCTACAACTCTCTCCTAACTTCTCCTGAGCTGTCAAATGCAATTAGAATAAGTTGATCAGGGTTTGTTTCCAACTTCCCCTCTCCAATTGGTCTCTAATCTTTCTCCCCACCCTCTTGCTGCCCGCGCCCCTCCCCCACACCTTCTCCACTGTCTCCCCACCCTCTGAAGACCTCTATTCATGTGGCCCTGAACACTGAAACCAGCTTTGCCTGCAATACTCAGCCCCAGCCTCTCTCTTGCACCTCACCATCCCAGAGGCAGTAATCATTGTGTCCAACAAGATGGGGGACACAGCGCCCCCGCAGGCCCCCGCAGGAGGTTTAGGGGGGGCTCCTGGGGCGGGGCTCCTTGGAGGGGGCTCAGTCACCCCTAGAGTGCACAGTGCTATTGTGGAACGCCTGCGGGCTCGCATTGCTGTCTGCCGACAGCACCACCTGAACTGTGAAGGACGCTATGAACGTGGTAGGGCCGAGAGCTCAGACCGAGAAAGGGAAAGCACTATGCAGCTTCTCAGCCTGGTCCAGCATGGCCAGGGGGCAAGGAAGGCTAGCAAACATGCTAAGGCTGCAGCCACGACTGCCACCACCACAGTCCCTCCACCGCCCCCTGCTGCCCCTTCTGTGGCCTCCCAGGCAACTGCCACAGCCCCACCACCTCCACCAGACTACCACCATCACCATCAGCAACATCGACTGACCAGTAATGATAATGGTGGGATAAACCGAGAGCAGCAGCCACCAGCTTCTACCCCTGGTGACCAGCGGACCTCTGCCCTGCTTGCGGTAAGGCACCTGGTTTTCTCCTATGATTGTGGCTGTTCTCCTGTGGCCTCTCGCAAAGGTGGTGGTTGTTTTGGCCTCATGAGTTGGTGGTTGTCTTGGCCTCATGTGGAATGAATGGCCATGAAGATGGCCAAGATACCAGTCTCTCAAAGGCTGTTGGGTGTGTGTGTGTGTAGTTGTAAACTCTTACTATCAAAGTCACTGGTGCCCATTGTCATTGTCCTACACTGAAATGTGTTCCTTACCAGTTAATAGCCTGGATTTTCCAGAGGCTAGGAGGGTCCACAGTTTGTGAAAGAAGGACTTACAGCTGAGAAACCCTTGAGAACCCTTCTGCTTAGCATGTTAGGCCCAGCAAGACATCCTTTACTTGACAGTAACTTAGCTCGATTGACCTGCTTACTTTTCCCCCTCCCTACTTCCCCTCTGAAGTGCCCTTCACCTGGGGTTAGGAGTAGTCTATGATTGGCATTCCATAACATAGTATCCCCACAGTAAAAACCATGGAGGGAGTACCTCACAGACAGACTCCTGCAGGAATGCTTGGTAAGGGGGCTATCAAGATTCTTGTAGGCTCCCCACTCCAGGCTCCAATCCAGTCTTTATTCTGGACCCCCAGAACTCATGGAAGGCACAGAGAGCACCTTGTTTCAGTCCCTCCTGATGACAACACATCAGGTCCAAAAGCCTGAGTAATTTTCTGACTGGAAGTGCTTCCTCAGAGGCACAGACAACACCCCACCCAGAGGGAAGAGCATTGAGTCATTGGCTCTTGGTTGTCAGTCTTGGTCAGGTGACCACTGCTTGTGGTAGTTCTGGCTTCCCCCACACTGCTATGCCATTCCTCTTTCAGTAGAAGTTAGAACCCGGCCCTGTACCCTGAGGCTTCCCCACTGGGCTCCTGAAGTTCTGTGACTACTCATGGAACAACTACAGTAAGCTTAAACCAAACCTGAGGAGAGGCAGAGACGGGAAATGGCCATGTGAGCCCTGAAGCCCCCAGAAAGCCCTCAAGAAAGATGGTACTAAGGAGCTCCTGATGGAGGAGGTAGACTGTTCCAGTCTGGGCTACTTCTTCTTGATGCTCTTTCCCAGGTCCTTCATCTGCAGTGATCCCCATGATTCCTGGGGAACTCTGGGGACTGAGACACTTCTCTTCCCCACAAGGCACACATTTTCCTTGGGTTGCCCAGAGCTGTGATTCTGGGATCCCCAGGTCCAGATGAAAACTAAGCACCTATAATTAACTGGCCTGTGCTATATCCTTGAATGAAACTATCCAGTTTCTATTGAAGTTTCCAGGCCTATATTCCTCTCTCTCTCCCCTGCTCCATCCACACTTCTCCCTGGAATTCCCAGGGAAAGGAAGTTTGTCTCCTGAAAGAGAGATGCTGTGGAGAAGGATGAGGGAGAGAAGAATGAGGTTTGTGTGCCTGTGCGTGTCACCAGCATCTGCAGCCAAAAGTAACTAAATGCCTTGATTGTCCCCAGTAAATTTATAATCTGTCTGCAAGCCTCCCAATAATGTGGCTTTGTGTGCTCAGAGTCTCCTTGTGAGTGCTTCTGGGGGTGATACTGACAGTGAGGCATCCAGGCCAACCCCAGAGGGGAATGCTCTGCCCTGGGTGCCAAGCCTAGCTTAACCCACAGGGTGGGCTTGTCCTCTGGCTCTCCCTCCCAGCCTCAGCAAGGAAGGTAGCATGTCCCTGTGGCTCTCTTTGGTTTTTGCTTCTGTCCAGTTGGGAGGGAAGTTTATGAGGTTTTCTTTTGCTGGTGTGTTATAGGAGACAAAATGAAACCAACTTCAATGGTCTTGTAACTTTAAGGGGCACTGCTTCTGATATGGGGAAGACAGGCAATGGTGCCTGGCTTGGCTCTACTAAATGGCAGCTTCAAAAGCTGACAGTGTTTTCTCTGCCACCCCTTTCTTGGGGACTCTCTTTTCTCTCTTCCACCCACCAACTACCTCCTAAAATAGCCCCTTGCTGGAACACCCCCTGAGTGTAGAGATGAAGCCTGGGTTTTTGGTGTGAGTTAGGAGACAAAGGCAGCAGCTTGGTCCACACACTCATTCTTCTACGAGAGTGGCTGGTCTGATGCCCTGTTACTTACTGGGAATTCCCTGTTTTAGCTTCTAAATTTGATGCTTTGTTCCTCTGAATGTTATTCGGTCTGTGAAGCAACTTCTGTACCATGCTATTATCACTGGATGGGGAGAGGGAGGCCTGGGCATTCAGGAGTCTCATCTCAAGGTCTCACTTCTCTCGGGCATCTTGTGTTCAGAGACAATGTTAACAATTTTAAGGGCCTCCTCTGCTGAGAATTCATGTCAAAATTCTTCCTCAATTTTGTTGTGTTTCTATGTCCATAGGCAGATTTATGTAGTCTGGATGTGTTGAATGTAACACTTTACTGTTAATTTGTATGCTGTAAGTGCCCATGAATGCCCTTTGGAGAAAGGGAAGGTATTGATTATCTAAAATCAAATATGCGCTGTGTACCCTGGTGAAGTTCTGTAGCCAGCATGTGTTGTGTGGCAGTGCCTTGGGCATTGTCAGTACTACTTGCCAGATGAAGGTGAAAGGACAACTTATGTTGGTAGGATAATGTTGTGTGGGAGGTGACTTCTATGGCAGAGAATATATACTGTCTGGTCTCTTTAATAGCTTGAGTTTGAAGAACAATGTAAGAATAACCTCTAAGTCAGTTCTAATTCTGTCCACGTGAGAGCCTAATTCTGCTGTCCTTACTCAGCCAGTTTCTCATTTAGCTCCAGTTCAGGGGAAGCCCCACTTCTGTAGAGACTGCAAACACAGAGCCTTGTAGAAGGCTGAGATTGTAGGGTTCGGAGGAGACTGGCCTTTTTAGCCACTCAGTGAAGACTTTAGCCACTAAATCACTTTCTGCTGAAGTATGTTTGCATCTTCGAATGAGCTGTAAAAACTCAATAACCACTGTTCCATGGAGCAGTTAGGTTGGCACATCTGTGGAAATTATTTATCGTTTCCTCTTGTCTGAAACACACTCTCTTCCTGTGCCACAGACCTTGTCGCTTGTTTAGGTAGATAAGTGGTACCAAGCCATCTTCCGCTTCAGACATTTTCTCTTCTCTAATGTGCTGCGGAGGAAAGAACACAAATGAGATGAGGAGCTTGTTTTGTGGTTTGGTGACTGTTCAATCACCAACCTGCTGGATGACCAGAACAAGTCACTTAGCACTCATCTGTCAAACAGAGATCAGCTGTCCATGAAAGCACTTTCATTAGTGAGTGTTTGGGGAAAAGGAAAAGAAGCCAGAAGCTCCGCCAATGCTGCTACTGAGCTCCTAGCACCAAGGATGAATACTGGCTCCTCTTGCGTCAGAGAGATCCACTCAGCTTTCGCTTGTCTTTTTTAAGTGGTAAAATAGCTTTTATTGTAAACAGAGGGATTGGTCTTGCAAAATCAGGGTTGTCAAGATAAAACCAAAATAGCTGTATATTTAAGTAGCTCCAAAGTCCTAGAGAACACTCCTCAAAGTGAGCCGTGCTTTGAAGCCTTGTGTGTCCTTCAAGCATGCCCTTTATATCTCTGCATGGGCCCTAGAAGCCTTGGCAAGGTGTGTCCCTAGAGTGTCTATAGGGTATTAGAAAAGTTATTTACACAAATGATAGGGGAAGTTAAATATTTTGCCAACAGTATTCTAAAATGCCAGTTCTTAGTTTAAGAAAGTCAAACCAGTTAAAGGATCTCTGAAGTTCCCAGGTGTTTTATAAGTTTCTAATTGACCAATTCAGAATTTCAGGGCTGTACAGGGAGGGAGTGGAGGGCAAGTCTGGAAGACTGAGTATAGATGTCTACATGACAGATCTCCCCTCTGGGACTGTGAGAGGAGTATTCACATTATTTATTTATGCAGCAATCATTTCCTTAAGAACAGACCTATTTTGTTTTGCTTCTCCTGAACAAAGTAATAAGGGAGAGTTCTTAGCTATCCAGGTCCTTTCTACCTCATTCAAGTAAATGCAAGGCAAAAGGTTCCAGTGGAGAGTGTCTGGCACATGGTGCTATTTCAGACATTGTCAGAGAGCTTGCTCTGGTGACAAGGTGAGGTCATGCACATACAGATACTCTGTGTTTTCTTTGAAATAATGTTGTTACTAAGTACTACTCATCAATATTTTTCTGTCCTAAACTTTAATGTCTATGGCTTCCCTATAGCTCTACTCATATTTAATCACTATGGTATTAACCAGGGGCTTTCAAACGTTCTTAGACACAGCAATTAAAATATCATCAGTGGTATGACAACGATTAGCTGTTCTCTTAATTTTATTGTTCACTTTGATTCTTAGCATTGTTATTTCATTTAAAAAAAATCCTAGTAGTAAATTTGAAAATTAAGAAGCAGCCACCCACTTTTGCTATACATGTAGACCAAGCCTCTCTGAGTGGCTTCTACTGACTCCTCCTCCTGTATGCCAGCCCCTTGCCTGTGTTCAACATCTGCAGACAAGGCCATCCATGTTTAATGAAAACAACTCTAAATTCCTCCTCCTTCATTTTCATGCTAATTTCCTTCACACTCCAGCAAGCTCTGTGGGAGAATAAAGGAGTTGTGATATGCTACAGACATAGCCCATGCTGCCCACAGTCCAATGGAGAAATCACCCCCTGCACAGTCAAACAGCAGTAGAAGTTCCTAGCTCTCAGGATGGCCTAAAACTGATACAGAAACTTAAAGACCTAAAGAACGCAGGGAGCTCCCTTTACATGTTTTACATAACACCTACCAAATCCAGGCAGGATGGGTGATGTTGTCCTGTGTTAGAAACAAAGACACTAATACTAAGATGGGCATGATGATTCATGCTTGCAGTTACAGGACTCAGAGGCTAAGGTAGGAGGATCACCATGATCCATGAGTTTGAAGCCAGCCTGAACTACCTAAGTTCATATTTAGCCTGAGCTACAATGTGAAACTCTATCTCAAAAGACCAAGAAAAAACAGGCCAGACAGAAGCAGAGGCAGGCAGATCTCTGTGAGTTCAAGGCCAGTTTGGTTTACACACAGCATTCCAGGCCAGTAAATTAGTGTTAAACAAAATAGCATGGTGCCAAACACAAAAAGTAATGAAATATGAATATTGTTAGTAAGAAAGAGATTCAGATCTAGGCCAGGGAAAATCTTATAAAGAATATGGATCACCTCAGGGCCTGAGAGGGGTGAGGGTGAGATGGGGGTGTGGACTTCAGGCATATACAAGCAGCCATAGAAGTTAAATATTTAGGGGCCAGAGCAAAGAGTAGTGTGCTTGGGTATGTAGTGAGGGGAAAATGGGTTTGGGAGCATCCTGAAAATGCTGGCATTCTCACAAGAGCAAATCAGAAGCCCTGGTCAAATATGGAGCCAGGGAGAAGCAGAGGAGTTCAGAGCTATGAAGCAATACTAATCCTTCATGTGCTTGAAGACAAGTAGTGCCTTTTCCTCCAGCAGCCTCCTCTCAGGGCATGCAGCCTAAGTGCTCTGTTCTTTGAGCTTCAGGTCCCCGAGGCTGCTTAATGCTGTGCTGTTTACACACATCTCAATTCGTGGTGAGTTATATACAGCATGACATGGCCTTTGGCGCTGAGAGAAGAAGTCTTTAAAAGCACACAGGGTAGATGAGGAAGAGAAACCAAAAGGAATAGAGCTGCAGCTCCTCCCCTTTCCAGACCTTTC